TCACGGTGGTAGCCCCGTCTGTGTCGATTAAGGACCGTCCGTTGTTGGCCCTGTTGAGCAAGTTTGAACGTACTGACTCACATGCTAGTGTTTTTATGGGCCTAGTAAACCTAGTAGCCTGCGTCGCCCTGGATGTCTGGTAGATACTTTACTCTTTCTATCATGGTATTTGGGAGAGGTAGGGTGGCGTCCCGCGCAGTCAGCCGTCCGGGACGGGGGTTGCGGTGGGAGAGCCCTTCCTCGGGAGGAGTAGAATCTGGTACAGCTCTGGTGGTACGTAGCGTAAACGGTTGCCGTATGTGGCCTTTGCCGCGTATGGCGTGTGGTCAGGTTTTCTCCTGCAGGATGTACATCGATGCCGCCGCTCTTGGTCAAGAGCAACCTTGCTCACTGAGTCACCTCGTAGTGTGATATGCTTGATGATGATGACTAGTACTGTTATTTATATTTCATTATTGTATACTGCTTATATGATGTATTGTTACTTTATATCTGTTCTAGAGATATGCACACTGTTTTACTGGATAAGTACCTAACTTGAAAATAAAAACTTGAAAATAAGGCTCCATTAATTAGTGCGAGTTATGCTATCGCTTCAGCCATCCCCTTGTAGCCTTTGCATAATTAGGAGTCGGCTGTAGATAGCCACGTTGACGGGTAAGACTTGCTGAGTATTAGTTGCTCAGGGTTTGGCTCCTTATGTTTTATTGTAGGTAGCACCTGTATCCCTGACTCTACGGGTGGAGGTGGACAGTGGGATGGCCAGCTTTCCTTTGGTTGGACAGCCCACTAGGAGACCGAGGAGTGATCTCCTCTTGAGTCCGCATTTTCATGGCTTTGGATGCGGATTCTTGTGTATCGTGAGCGCGTGCGCTTCCTGTATCTTTATTTCCTTTGAATTTGTATCGTGAAACTTCCGCTGTGCGACTCTATGTTTTAACTGGACTAATGTAATCACTTAAAGACTTAATTTGTGCTTTTTATATGTTGTACTGTTGCGTCTGTTCATCAGCGCTATACCGACTCGATCCTGCGAAAAACGGAGACGCTTCATAGCACCCGAACATTGTCTATGTAGTAGCACCCAAACATTGTCAATGTAGCACCCAAACTATCAGTAGCATCAAAGCTATATATCTTTACCCCAATTCGGATACCACAATAATTGGATATGCTGCTAAATGATTTGAATGATGGTGGAAAATTTTCTGAGCAGCACCTGAGTAAAACCCGAACTATCAGTAGTATCCAAGCTATGTTTACCATAATTCGGATGCCACAAAAATATATATGCATTTAAATAATGTGAATGATGGTGAACATATCCGAGTAGCACCAGAACATTGTTTGTGTACGTAGCACCCGAACATTATCAAGTAAAACCCAAACATTATCAAATTAAGCAATGATTTAATATCCGAGTAGCACAAGAACATTGTTTGTGTTGCACCCGAACATTATCAAGTAAAACCCAAACATTATCAAATTAAACAATGATGTAGCATCGGAGCTAGGTCCAGCGGATCCAATTAAAAAATGATGTAACATTGAAAAGAATATTATATTGTATATCAGGATTGTTTTATTTTTTTTCTCGAAAACGCAGGAGAGCTGCGTATCTTTGTATTTAAAGAGAGGAGAAACGGTCCCGTACAATAGTGCCACCTCACTCCGGACCGAGCTATGAGGGGCAGCTTACATAGAATTAGGTGTAACCTTATAAAACACACAAGCTAGGCAAGGCCTGCCCATCACCTAAGGACCGACTAACCCGGCTCTAGGGCATGACCCAGAAGTATGTCTACCACAATTCGGATGCTTTCATCATCAAACTAAATTTACTAACACCCTGCTTTTCCTGTCATGCGGAAGCTCCTGGGTAGACTCGGATGGGGCTTTCTTCCATCCCAGGCTCTTCGAAGGCGGATGGAGATGACATGGCGCGGGGTGTTTGTTGTGCAGAGGACGCCTTCCCAGCTGCAGAAATGGGTGCTGTCGTTCCATGGGGCCAAAGCTTGCCGTGGATCAAGAGTGATGGCGTTCTTAAAGTCAAGCAGTGACAGCCGGTCTGTTTCATCTCCCGATGCAGAGCTGCAGGTGTAGAATATACCTTTTCCTGTCATGCGGAACCTCCTGGGTAGACTCGGACGGGGCTTTCTTCCATCCCAGGCTCTTCGAAACCAACACCCAGGGCTTTTTGGGTGAGCTTGCTTTCGGGTGAACGAGGCCAGCCTTAGGTAATTAAAAAAAATCCCTTTTTTCCCTATGTCTTGTATGTAGTGACGAGTGGGTTAATATTTCCGTGGGATGTGAGCGTCGGAAGATCCATAGAAATATAATAAGCACATTGAAGCAATGAACCGTGCATATTATAACACATGAGGAGAAGTTATAGCAAAGAGAGATTCAGATGGAAATGATTTGCGCATTGAAGATTAATTTCAGCTGACAGGATTGATGTATTTAGACACGTGGTACCCTGCTAGTGCCAAGTGATGCAGCTACCTAAATCTTTGTTTATCCAGCTACATAACTACAATGCTCTTCTATATGCCAAAAGACCAGGATAGGTGCTTGCAAGGTAAAAGTATTTAGGGTTCATTTGATGATTGTATATTATAAAATGCCCTCCCAGTTCTGGTGCAATTTTCATAGGAGACAAGATTTTCTTCTCCGGTTTGTATATTATAAAATGCCCTTCCATTTCTTTATGCAACTCTATGGCTCGTATATATTTTTGCTCGGCAAAAATGCATTGCATCACCTTAAATGGGTCATTGCCGATGGTTGGTATGTTACCTATCCCGCTCGTTTCATTGTTTTGTTTTGCAAACTATTATGTTTTCTATTCGGTTGCAGATCATCATTCCTGAGCACTATTAGCTTTTAGCTTTTAAACATGTTGGGCCGGTACTTCCTTGTAAATTGAAACAGGCGGGACAAGAAGTAAACAACATGTGCTTAGCACACTACTCTGAAATTTTGCTAATCTCTCGGTCACCAAATAGTGTTCCAAATGTGCATTTAATTTGTTCCATATCATGTGATAAAAAATATGCAAGTTTCTAGTCACCTAAGAACTAAAAATGTTCCAGCTGCTTCCATCGCAAAAAAAAAAAAATGTTTAGCTTCACAAAAGAATGTTACACACGCACATTTCCTTTATTCTAAAATTGTGACCGGAAGATTTACAAAATCTAGCTACTGAGAACTAGAAAATATCAAATATTAAATGTAGTAGAGCTCGCTTATTCAGGTCAACATTTTTTTTTGCTAATACATATAATTTTTCTTGTGGATTTTTGTTTCTACTTGTCTGATTTTCCTTAATTTAACCAATCATTAGTGCGATCCCTTTGTCATGTAGATAGCTACACAGTTCCGTCTAAAGCATCCGTGCAATTGAAGGAAGAAACTGATGACAAAACCAGCTAGGTACATAGATTTATCAAGAGATGCTTACCGTTCTTCCGTGCTCGACGTGGTCCAGGCGGTGCCGTGGTACACATCAAATTGCAAGCACCAAACGACCAAATATCGGCTTGTCACATGCAGATGCACCGCTCTACAATTTATCAGAAAGGCTGTGTACTCATCTGGGTTGGCGACCAGTGCAGGTGACCGGCAAATATCATTACGCGGTCCTACAACGTATAGCAGCGCCCATCTCCACTAATTTCAGTGCCGAAGGTAGAATAAAAGTAGTGGGATGCACTACGTCAAATTAATTACCCAGGAAAAGTACTGTACCACATTTAGCTGTCCAATGGTGCACACTTTTAAGTAATTTTGTATTTCGTGGGTGCATTTGCACCCACCACAATATATGTAGCCTTGGCACTGACTAATATCCAAGGTGGCGACGTATCCTATGAGAACTAAGTTCGTATGAGAACTATGAGAACTCCAATCTAAGCCACATGATCTTGATCCAAGAGGAGCGCGTAAGGAGAGGTGGGAGGAGGAATTTGCAAAAGTGTGATTAAGTGGACGGTGATTTTGCAAATCCCTCCTCCCACCTGAATTCATGAGCCCCATTGGATCAGAATCATGTGGCCCACCTGAATCCAATGGCTAGCTAGCAGAGAATGACATGATGCTTTCTCCACCAAACAGCCATTTAATATCGAAGTAAATTCGTCAAAAAAGAAAAGAAATCAATCATGGACTTAGGGGCCACTTATCACAATATCTTGGGTGCTTTATTTATTGTTGTGGTGGGTTCATTTCGCTCATGGACGATTAAGGGAAGCCCGCGTTCCTATCCTGCAACTAGTCAAAGACGTCTTCAGTAGTGGCCCAATAATCAAAACATGGAATGTGACAGTCCGGTTAAAAAAAAAGGACTTGTTAGAGATATCGAACTGAAGCGCTCTATAATAATGAGATGTGGTACTGAAACAGGTGCCTGCACTAATTTTGTCTCTTTTAGTTGCCTGCACTAATTTTGTCTCTCTTAGTGGCACATACATTAGTTAACACAAGCGGCCGTCGTTGACAGCAACCAAAATTACATTCTAACCCATTCTTACATAGTCGTGCATGTCCGGCATTCACAAAGAATGGCATTGTAAGTTCTTGCTTTATTTTATTTCCGTGAAGTACACCTTAATTAATCGATCTGAGTATAGGATGCAAATATCAGTTATAATCCTACTTTGCTAGGATGCCTTGGAAGAAATCTTGGCCGATCCAATGCAAGATGGACAACAGCAAACATAGGTTATTGAAACTTCTCAAGTTGTGCAAAACAAGCACATTTTGGGATTAAAGTAAAGTGTTTCTTTTTTTTTTTGAGATTACACAGTACAACTCAGACACTCACAACGCACGCACACTCATCCCTATGAACGCACATACGCAAACCCTACCCCTATGAGCATCTTCGAAGACTAAGCCGGCAAATTCTCCAAATTCCCGAAGTCGCCACTGGCGCCTCGCTGTCGACGGCCACGTCGCCTACCGCTGAAAGCACAAATGCCGTTAAATCCTAGAAAATTCGCTCCCACCAGGAGTCGAACCCAGGACCTCAAAGGTGCTACTCAGTTGCCTTAACCACTAGGCCATGCTGAACTACCGATCAAGAAACAAGCGTGGCAGCGTTTCCGTCATACAAGCATCACAAACAAGAAAGTCAGTAATCAGCATATTTCTCGTACTAAGTGTACAGATCAACACGAGTAATGGGCATTTTGTATCAACAAAAACTATGCTTTTGCCGGACAGATTAAATGGTTTGCTTCAAGTTTTATATGTTCTACTTCTACTACCAATTTGCAGCACCAATTGAATCTTTGCAGTGGAGCGTGTGGCAGTGCTAGTGCTCCTTGATCTGGCCAACCCCAGCTACAGGCGGAATGGGATTCATGCATAACCATTTTTTGATTTTTTTTTTTCAAATGAAGTAGACATTTTTTGTTTATAGCAAAATATATAATGTAGTTCAGTAAACCAAATTCCCTCGTGGGAACATCCGCGTGGGAACATCAATAATTTCTACCCCAAGGTCAAAATACACTCGACAAAAGTATTGCCGAGTGTAGCACTCGGGGAAGCGCACTCGGCGAGTCTATATACGGCGAAGACCACCTTTGCCGAGTGTTTTCTGTCGGGCACTCGGCAAAGGCTTTACCGAGTGCCTATAGTGGAGACACTCAGCAAAGCCTCAACGCTTTGCCGAGTGTCTTGGCAATTACACTCGGCAAAGCCTCCTTGCTTTGCCGAGTGTTGTTGCTTTTACACTCAGCAAAGCAGTTTTCCCGATTAAGTTTTAATTGTTTTTTCACAAATTCCATTGACAAACACACAGGCAGTTCACATGTTCATGCTTCAACTAATAATTCAAAATGAGTCGAGCATTACTTAATCCAATAGAAATGTAATTCATTGTTACATCAAAAAATTCTATCATTACATAGAAGGTTTATGACCTAAATTGAATGGGAACAACTCTGTTTTGAGCTGTCTAAAGGCATCAACATGCAATTTGTTTCCAGCTATCTTGGACACATAACAGATAAGAAAAAAAAATCCAAAAATGTAAGAAGTACATCTTTACTTTCTGTAAGGCAATAATCCATGTGGCGTACAACAGTCAGCAAATAATTGCAAAAATTCCTTCTAATGAACCTTTAGCTTGTATTGAAGAGATGGTGGAGAGACCACAGGGAAGGACTGATAAAAGCCTGTTTTCAGACAATAAAAGCCTGTATTGAAGAGATAGTAGTCAGCAAATAAGTGTTTTATAGCTTTTAACATATAGCAATGAGAGCAGGTTTATGAGGCTGCTCTGGATGAAACATGAAGAACCAAATGAGATAACATTTCACCTAACCAAGCAGTAAAGAACAATCCAAGTCAAAAGAAAGAACATCACAGAATCATTTGGTAATCAAGCTTCTCGAGTATAAAAATGGAGTATGGTACAAATCGTTGACTTGCCAACAAAATTGGCAGCTAGTTGCCTATAGGAATTTTCAGGATAGCTACTCATCCTCACACTATTTATAAAAAAAAAATTCATTGCAAAATAGGCAATTAGATGGGCCATCCTAGATTGGAGATCACTGAGCTAAAACAAGAGTATGCTGGGGACGATGCAATACCTGATCACGTCGATGAAGATATGCTGCAGTCAAGCAAAGTCCTCACAGTGAGCCTACATCATAGTCAAGGGGATTAGCTAGCAATGTGCAATTTTAGAAAAAAAAAACATTTTTGTCGTCTCAATTGATTAACAATAAACCAAGTTGGCAGGAAGAGACATATGTGCCAATTACAAATACATTAACATGAGCATCTCATATGTTTCATTTTGGAACCCAATTACAAATACATTAACTTACATTAACGCAAAATTAAAAGTTAAATAAAATCTCAGTCCCATGGGTCGTCCCAAACTTTACCTCTACTTTCCACTAGGCTGGTAAACCTTTTGCTGATGTACTGCTCTACTCCTTCACCGATCCATTCAACTATCAACAGATCAATCCATGCAAATTATTAAAATAACCTAGTTTCACAATGCACTAGCAAGTGCTGTTCATACATGCATTAGCACAGGATTCACAAAGAGAACAGAGCAAATAGAATCAGAATATCAGCCTTGAAATTTCTACAGACCAATACTCCTATTAGCCATTATTTCTTCCATCTTTGTTGAACCAAATGTTCTAAACTTAATTAACCGAATAAAAAACGATCCATGATGTACTTCCTATTGCATATTTTAGATTACATTAAATGTCTCGCTTATAAGGAACCTTTGATCAAGTGCACATAAGAGCTCAATCAGTTGATTACGTAGCACTGATGGATGGCTATTCAGATCGTCAATTAACCCTATTCTAGGGAGCACTAAGGTAACATCTAATCTAGGGAGCAAATCAACTGTTCGTCTCACAAACATATCTGATAGTTTAACTCGTGTGGAATAGAATTAAAAGATTGGCAGCCTACTTCACACAACGATTCAATTCAAGCGTGTGCAGGTAGCAGGAATTACCACGCAAGTGACAGTTCGATTCAAGTTACGGCGCTGCTGTGACGTCGGGAATATTCTCACCTCGGAGGCCGATGTGATGTGGAACTGGAGGCCGACGAGGACGCGAATGGAGCGGCGACGAAACTCAGCTGTAGGTGCAGCAGGGACGGGAGGAAGCGAACGCAGATCTGCTGGAGGAGAAGCGTCACCGCGAGGCTCAGACCGAACCCGCGATACGGAGAAACGCAGCCTCAGATCGAGCGAGGCGAAGCAAACCAAGCGGAAGCTCCGGCCCCCCAACTCGATCGGCGCCGGGGCCGGGGACAAGGCCGGGGCAGCAGGGGCCGGGCCGCGGCGTCGCGAGAGGGCAGCAGGGGAGCTCGTCGGGCGTGGGGGGAAGCGCGTGAGGGAGGGCAGCAGGGGGAGGGAGTCGGCCTTGGTGACGGGGGATGCGGGGCAGGGCGGGGGAGCCGGGGGAGGGCGCGGCGTCGCGTCGCCGGGGAGGACGGCGGCGACGGTGAGGGCGGCGATCCGGAGGGTGTTTCCGGTGCCTGGGCGACTTCCATGGCCGCCGCCGCCGCGAGTTTTGTCCTGACGTTTCTGTTGAAGAAGACCGATTCGGCATGCTTGCATATATATGTAGAGCTGATCCGTCGATGGCGCTAAGCATAGGAACCAGATCAAGATTTTGTTTCGTGTTCCAGTTGGTTTCTGTTTGACTTTCAAGGTTTAATCAAATCAATTTTCCCCTTATATTGCACTATCATTCTAGTAAAAACTGAAAATTCTGTGGGATTATATTAGACACAAATCTCTGAACTTCCACCGCAACAAAAAAGAGAGGGACATTTGTGCATCTCCACGCATGACGAATCGATCCTCTATTTCTGGACAGAAAACGGAGGACCAACCTGCGGCGGCGGCGGCCGTAAAAGTCCCAGCGCCGCAGCACCGTCCCGGTTCGTCGGCGGCCGCCGCCTACCCTTCATGGGTGATGCTCTCATCCCGGTGCTTCAGGGAGGCCGACGGCTCCTGCTCCTGCTCCATCGCCGACGTCAACACAAGTGTGAGCGCCCGAACCTCCACCGGCGAATCCATCGCCGTGCACCTCAGGCTCGGCACGCCTCCCGAGGGATCCCACATATGCGTCAATTTCCCGTACACCTCCGCCGCGGTGCTCGCGGCCCACGGCGACTCTGTGCTCATCAAGATTGATCGCGGCTTCCGGAGATTCACGACCGACTACTTCGTTTACACTGCCGGACCCGCCGCCAATGCTGAAACGACATCTACACGGCCGCCGCCGTCGTTGTCTCTGCTACCACCGCCTTGCCCTAAGACACTGCTAGATGAAAGGTGGACCAGCCTCTTTCGCAGCGGCGACGAGATCGTAGTTGCTGGGCTCAAGATGGTGGACTTCCGCACCGATTCGCCGCCCACTAAGGTGCCGGAGCTCCACCTGCTCCGCTCCGGCGAGTGGACCGTCACACATCCGGCGATCACCCACACCGACGGCAAGGACCTGCGGCAGCTGCCCTGGTGGATAACCCGTGCCGTTCCGGTCAGCGGCGGGAGGATGTGCTGGGCCGACACGTCTCGCGGGCTCATGCTCTCCAACGTGTTCGACAAGACCCCGGCGCTCCGGTATGTGCTGCTTCCGACGGCGGCAGTGGAGCCTCTCTCTGGCCCGAGGTCGTGCCGCAACGTGTGCGCCACCAGCACCGGCACGGTGAAGTTCATCGACATCTTTCCCCGTTGCTGCTGCGGTGGCGCAGGCGCTTCCCGCTGCCGACTTTCCCAAGAAGCGTACACCATCCACACCTGGACGCTGAGGATGGACGACATGACGTGGGTGATTGATGGTGTCATCGATTGCACTGAGCTCTGGTCACTCGATGCCTACGCCGGCCTTCCACGTCAGCGGTTTTACGATCCCCTTGTGAGCTTGGACGATCCCGACACCATATGCTTCATGGTGTCCGAGAGCTTCTACAACGAAAGTGACGACCATGCCAAGTGGCTGATCATGGTCGACATGACGAGCAAGAATTTACTGTCGGTCCACAGATACCACACGAGACACATTCGTGGAGAACCTCTGCTTGCTAGCAGGGTCTCCGGCTACTTCAACTTTGGTCCTAGCAGTAGCAAGAAAGATTCTCCACGAGAAGAAGCTTTGCCTTACTCGACGAGCAAAACCTGCATGGAAGTTGCTGCGTCGTCAGTGGTCACCGATAAGTTAGGCAGCCACAATTCTGTGAAATCATTTGGTAGATCGTCGACCGTGCCAATGCAAGTATCTTGGAATGACACTATCTTGTCGGCGCTGGAAGGGATACCTGGATTGGATCGTGATGAGATGGAGAAATCGTACAGCTTTCTTAGTCATGACAAGAGTGGCCGCCGGTACAGATTTCTTCTGAAGCTCCCGGAAAATTTGAGGAAGGAATGGCTGTTGCTCGAGATTTAGGATAGTAAAGCTTTTGTCTCATGTATTCTGAATACACTGGCAGATTTGAAGCATGCATGAAACATTTCTTTTGGAAGACTACCGATAACTATAATTCGTGGTTATTTTTTGAGCTATAATG